CCCCCCCCCCCCCGTGTCCTCCCCACCCCCAGATCTGCGTCAGCAAATGCCCCGACCGGTACCTGACGTACCTGACGGCCCACGGCGTGCCCGCAGAGCTGGGGTACTACCGGAACTTCTGCGTCCCCACCTTCGACCCGCGCAAGGTGGGTGGCGGTGCCGGCGTTCCGGTGGTGGTGCCGGCGTTCCGGCGGCGGTGCCGGTGTTCCTGTGGTGGTGCCGGCGTTCCGGTGGTGGTGCCGGCGTTCCGGTGGTGGTGCCGGCATTCCAGCAGCGGTGCCGGCGTTCCGGTGGTGGTACCGGTGTTCCGGTGTTGCCGGTGTTCCGGTGGTGGTGCCGGCATTCCGGTGGCAGTGCCGGCATTCCGGTGGCAGTGCCGGCGTTCCGGTGGCAGTGCCGGTGTTCCGGTGGTGCCGGTGTTCCGGTGGCGGTACCGGTGTTCCGGTGGCGGTGCCGGCGTTCCGGCGCCGCGGGGGCAATTCCTACCTGGAGTGCTGATGGCTCTCGGTGTCCTTCCCCCCCCCAGGGTCCCATCGAGGTGCTGAAGGACAGGGAGTGCCCGGCCATGCTCATCCCCAGCACCCCCTGTACGTACATCCAGAATTAGCGGGGAGCCCGTTAACGAGCTCGTTAACGATTCGCTCGCTCCGTCCCCGCTTCCGTAGGGATGGTTTGGGGGTCGGAGGCTCCCGTTTGGGGGTCCCGGGGGGGCTTCGGGCTGGTTGTCCCGGCTGAGCCGCCCCCTCCTCTCTGTCGCCAGTGGCGCGGAGATGCTTCCCGGCCATCCAGGCCAAGAAGGGCGTCATCATGGTGGGCAACGAGACCACCTACGACGACGGCCGCGGGCACCGCAGGAACGTCACCGAGCTGCTGGAAGGGGCCAAGTGAGTCCGGGAGCCGCTTAACGAGCGGCTCCGTTCGTTAGCGCTGCTTCCCCCGGCGAGGAACGAGCGGTTTCACCCGAGCCGGGGTCTGGTGTCTGCTGGAAATCCCGCACCAAAACCCGCCTCCGTCCCCCCTGGGCTCCTCGGAGCTCCCGCTCCATCGGCGTTTCCCGTTGCCTTGCAGGAAAGCCAACGTGGTGCTGGAGACCCGGCAGTTGGCCATGAAGATCTTTGAGGATTACACGGTGTCCTGGTACTGGATCATCATGTGAGCACAGCCCTCCCTCCCCGGGGGCAGAGCCGGGTGCTGGGCCGGCACAAACGGGGCAAAACTCAGGGATTTAATGATTTCCCCCCCCGTGGTTCCCGTTGGGCAAAGCGCAAAGTGCCGGAGGAGCGGCTTTGCTCCGCTCCTCCTCGCGCAAGTCCCACATTTGGGGTGCCCCGTGGGTGGCACGGGGGGGCTGTGACACACCGGCACCTTCCTCCCGCAGAGGCCTCGTCATCGCCATGGTGGCCAGCCTGATCTTCATCGTCCTGCTGCGCTTCCTGGCCGGGATCATGGTCTGGGTCATGATCGTGATGGTGATCCTGGTGTTGGGATACGGTGAGCGGGGGGGGTCGGGAGCGCCTCCCTGGCTTTTCCCTACTTTCCTCTCCCTATTTTAAGCGGGATTTGCCTCATGGAAGTTCACGCTCCGTGTCCTTCCAGCTGCCTTCCCCCTGAACGTCGGCGCTGGTGGGGTTGAGCGGAGCCCGCCGGCGTCCGGCTCCGCTTTTCCCTGAAAACAGGACAATCTCCTGCTTTTCCCCGCAGGAATCTTCCACTGTTACATGGAATACGCGAAGCTGAAAGGGGAGGCGGGCTCGGACGTGTCCCTGGCGGACCTGGGCTTTCAGACCGACCTGCGCGTCTACCTCCACCTGCGGCAGACGTGGTTGGCCTTCCGTGAGTGCCGGGGCGCGGCGAAGGGGGAGCACGGGGGGTTTTGGGGGGTCTCCTTGCGAAGGAGGGGCTTTGCCCAGTGCTGGATGTCCTCGAGGGGGGAGCCACGGGGGGTTTTTTCCCCGGGAAGGCAAAGGTGGTCTCGCATCACCCCCGTTCCCGGGGCTCCCCTTGTCCCCCGGCAGTGATCATCCTGTGCGTGGTGGAGCTGGTGATCGTCCTGCTGCTCATCTTCCTCCGCAAGAGGATCCTCATCGCCATCGCGCTCATCAAGGAGGCCAGCAGGTCCGGCCGGCCCCGCCCCACGGCCACTGCCCCCCGTCCCGTCCCGGCGTCCGGGGGGGGCTCCCGGCACCACGGGCTCTAACCGCGGCGTGGCCGTCCTCTCGCAGGGCCGTCGGTCACGTCATGTCGTCGCTGCTGTTCCCCCTGTGCACCTTCTTCCTACTGTGCCTCTGCATCGCCTACTGGGCCAGCACCGCCGTGTATCCTTTGCTCTTCCCCTGCCCTGCCTCCCTGTTCCCCGGCAAGGAAGCTGCCCGCGGGTCAAAGGGCTCCCCCGGGCACGGAACGGGATCCCCTGGCGCAGCGGCCGCCTTAAACCTCTGAAGTTTAGCCCCAAACCAGCCCTGGGTGCAGGAGCGGCGGGGGGAGGTTGGTGGGAGCGGAGCAGAGGCTGGGTTGGGGTTGGGTTTGGGGCTGGGAAACGGGCTCTCCTTAACGGCCGCTCCGCAGCTTCCTGTCCACCTCCAACGAGGCCGTGTACAAGGTGTTCAACGAGTCCACCTGCCCCTTCTCCGGGCAGACCTGCAGGCCGGAGGTGAGGGCGCGGGGAAACCTGGCAGAGATGAGACCCTTCATTGCGTGAGAAGCATCCTGGTGGCTCTCGGAGCCCCCGCGCTCCTCCCCGGCGCGGTTCCAGCTTTCCGAGCCCGGCTGTGTCGGGTTGTTCTCCCCGAGCCACCACGTGCTTGGAGCTGGTCTGAGCCGACCCTCCTGGGAAGCTGAGCGGGATAAGGACGTCTCTGAACGCCGGGGCTGCTCGAGAGGGAAGGAGACACATCCCCGGCCGCCACCGACACCTCTGCTCTCCCCGCAGACCTTCAACACCAGCAACGTCACCAAGCTGTGCCCCGACGCCCAGTGCCTCTTCGCCTTCTACGGCGGCGAGACGGCCTATCACAAGTACCTCATCGTGCTGCAGTTCTTCAACGTCTTCATGTTCTTCTGGCTCGCCAACTTCGTCATCGCCCTGGGCCAGGTGACGCTGGCGGGCGCCTTCGCCTCCTACTACTGGGCCTTCAAGAAACCCGACGACATGCCGGCCTTCCCGCTCTTCTCCGCCTTCGGCCGCGCGCTCCGGTACGTCCCCGCGGGCGGGGCAGACCCCGGGTGGCTCCCGGAGGTTGTCCCCTCCTCATGGGTCTGGGCACTCCCACCCCAGGTACCACACGGGCTCGCTGGCCTTCGGCGCGCTGGTCCTCGCCATCGTCCAGGTCATCAGGGTCACGCTGGAGTACCTGGACCACCGGCTCAAAGGTACCGGGGCTGCGATGGCCGTGAGGGGCCGGGCGAGGTCGGCCGCTCCCCACGGGGCTCGAGTCCAGGGGAATCGCTCCAGGGTTTCGGGGGAGGATCAGGGTTTTCCTCTTAGAGCCCCGTAGTCGCCTCTTTGTCCAAGAAAGGAAGAAATCCTTCCCTGGCAGGGTGGGCAGGCCCTGGCACGGGTTGCCCAGAGAAGCTGTGGCTGCCCCTGGATCCCTGGAAGTGTCCAAGGCCAGGCTGGACAGGGCTTGGAGCACCCTGGGCTAGTGGAAGGTGTCCCTGCCCGGGACAGGACGAGCTCCCAGGTGCCTTCCAACCCGAACCGTTCCATAATTCGGGATTCTGGGAAGAGTTTCCCGGGGCAGGAGCCAAGGGACGTGCCGTGGCCCCGGGCTCAGCCGGCCCGCCCCGGGGGCCTGTGCGGGTGCCAGGGAAGTCTGTGCCGCGTTCGTCGGGAAACGTAAACAGCGAGTGGGAGCGTGGGAAGAGCAGACGGGGCTCATCCCACTGTCTGCAGCCACAGGGAGGCTGAAAACAGGGCACGGGGGGGAGGCCGTGGTGGGACAAGGTCTCCACCAGGGACCTTGGAGTCGCTGCTGGAAGATCCCTTTGGTGCTGATTTTGGTGCCCTCCAGCCGCAGAGAACAAGTTTGCCAAGTTCCTCCTGAGCTGCCTCAAGTGCTGCTTCTGGTGCCTGGAGAAATTCATCAAATTCCTCAACAGGAACGCCTACATCATGGTGAGAGTCACCCCAAACTGATGCCCTCGGGGGGGCCCGGGGCTGCCGTGGGGGCGTCTCGGCGCTCCTGGGGGTTTCCCTGGGCGGCTGTTGGGAATTGTGTCTGCCAGCGTCACGGGAACGTGGAGCTCTGCAGCTGCTTGGCTGGCAAACCTCGATCTCAGCCACCTCACGTTGACTTTGGGAAGGACCCTCTGTGGGTGGGCGGGCTCAGCTCTGGGTCTCCACGATGCCCGACCCGTCAGTGGGCGAGGGAGCAGTTCCAGGGTGGGATTTACCAGAGACCTGCCCCGAGATGGGACTCGGTGGTGGCGACCCGGGTGCAGCCCCGTTTCTCTCTGCTCTGCCCCGTTTGCCCGCTCTAGATCGCGATCTACGGCACCAACTTCTGCACCTCAGCCCGCAACGCCTTCTTCCTGCTGATGAGGAACATCATCAGGTGAGATCCTGCTGTCCAGGAGGGCTCTGCTCCGTTACTTCCCAGTCCTTCCCGCTGCCCCAGGTCACCCCCGACCTGGCTCCCCGTCCTCGGGGACCTCCCTCCCTCCCGCGCTTCCATCGGAGCCTGGGGCGGGGGGCGGATGTGGAGTCTCATCTCTCCCTCTTGTTTCCAGGGTGGCCGTGTTAGATAAAGTCACGGATTTCCTCTTCTTCCTCGGGAAGCTCCTCATAGTGGGCAGCGTTGGTAAGCGCCGGGCCCTGGCAGCTCCTCCTCGGGGACGTCCGGCTGCCGTAGCCGGTTGTGCCGTCCCAAAACCTCCGCTCAGGTCACCCCTCCCGTGTCCCGTGTTCTGTCTTCCCCACCCCACCGCCGTGCCCACCCTGTGCTTGCTTTCCCAGGAATCCTCGCCTTCTTCTTCTTCACCCAGCGGATAAAGCTGGTCCAGGACACGGCGCCGCCGCTGAATTACTACTGGGTCCCCATTCTGGTGAGCCGCCGTCTGGGGCCGGGGTGGCCCCCGAGGCAAAGGGCAGCGATGCCCCGGGCGAGCCCCCTGCCCGCCCCCGGCGCCTCAAGGGCCGTCTTTGTTGGGTGTTTTTCTACGAGCCCTTTGTTGGCCGCGCGCCCTCCCCGCGCTGCCCGCGTTGGCCTCCGGCCGCCGTCGTGCCTGAGGCCTTTTGTCCCCCCTCGGGCTGCTCTGAACAGTCCTGCCCTGTTCCCTTCTCCCCCTTCCCCTGGGGAATTCGGGATTCAGCGGTTTCCTCCTCCTCCTCCTCCCCCCGGGGCGCTCCGGGCCCTCCGCGGGGCCGCGGCGTGACCGCGCGGCGTCTCTTGCAGACAGTGATCGTGGGCTCCTACCTCATCGCCCACGGGTTCTTCAGCGTGTACGGCATGTGCGTGGACACCCTCTTCCTCTGCTTCTGTGAGTACCCACCCCGGGGGGGGGGGCAAAACCCCTCCTTCCCTCCCTCCGGGCTTGAGTTGGCCAGATTTGGGGGTTGGCTCCAGAATCCCCCCGGGGTTCCCTCCGTGTGCTTTTCTCCCGCTTTTTCTCCTTTCCTGCCTCCTCACCCGCGTTCTCACCTGCTTCCCCCTGCCCGCTGCAGCTCCTGCCTCCCTCCTGCTCCTTCTCTTTCGGTGCTTTTCGGTGGGATTAACGCAGCTAACTTCAATTTCCCTTTTCCTCCCCCTTTTTCCTCCTTTTCCGCCCCTCCCGTGTCTCTCGTTCACACGTTCTCCATCCTCCATCCTCCATCTCCGCCCTGTCTCTCTCTCTCCCCGGCTCTTCCGCTGCTTTTTTCACTCTTCCTCCCTTCACGGCCGCTCCTTCCCGGGGTTGGAAAAGGTGAAGACCTGGAGAGGAACGATGGATCTCCCGAGAGGCCTTACTACATGTCCCCCGAGCTCAGCGAGATCCTGCTGAAGGGGCACCTCGAGCCTTCCAAAAGCGCCGAGAGCCAAGGCTAGGGAGAGCCAAGGCTGGGGGGCCAGCGCCGTGTGCCGGGCGCCGCGGGACCCTCCCGGCCCCCCCCCGACCTGAGCAGCTTCTTGGTGCCGCTCTGTGCCCCGGGAGCCCTTCCAGGGTAGGGGGGTGCCGACCCTCAGCGCCCAGCCCGCCTTCCTGCCCAGTAACTCGCGTTCCCGCACCCAGAGAACCCGCCCGGCGCCACTGGGAGTCGGGGCCGGGACCAGCCGGGTCCCCACGGGCGCCCAGAGATGTTTGTTCCTGACCACCGGGCGTGGGTGCCCAGAGATGTTTGTTCCTGACCACCAGGTGTGGGTGGGAGGGCCGGGAGCGCCGGCGGGAGGGACCCGCCGCGGCGGGACGGGGGTTTTTGGGACGGGCCGAGTGGGTTCCACCGCCCCAACCCGGTCTCTGGGCGCTCCCCTCTCCAAGAGCAGCAAAACTTCCCTGGCCCCTCCCCTGGCCCCTTTCCCGGCCCCCTTTCCCGGCCCCTTTCCCGGCCCCCTCTCTATGCAAACCGCAGAACTCGGGAAGGTTTCTGGGTGAGGCTGCAGAGCTTTGGTTTCTCACCTGCTGCTTCGGCACAAGGAGCCGCTGCCGGAGCCCCCCCTGGGACTCCGGGGGTTCAGAGGGTCCCTCCTGGAGCTTTGGGTGCTGCGGGGGCTGGTCCTGGGAGCTGCTTTTCCCCTGGGAGGGGTCGAGTGGGTTGGTTTGGCCTCGGCCTTGCCAGGCTCCCGCGGGCAGAGGCGCTGGAAGCTGTCACGAGTGGGGGGCTGTCGCGACGGGGGGGCTGTCGCGACTTCCACGCTCTCCCAGGGCGTAGCTGGAGATGATTCCAGAGGCCATCCCGGCCCGGGGGGGCTGTAGGAAGGAAGAAGGAGCCTGTGGGGAAGGGAGGCGAGTCCCCACACAGGCTGTGGTGCCCGGGGGGGTCCGTGAGGGCGAGGCAGTGCCGGGGGAGCAGAGCGAGTGTCCCCAGTGGGATGGGGGGGAAATCACAGGGGTGTGACCTCGGGGGGGGGGAGAGATCAGCCCCCAAAGTGCTGGGGGGGGTGTGTCACAACCCCCCCAAAAAATGCAGCGGTGTTTCCTCCTCTGGACAGCCCGGAACCGATCAGGATTTATAAAAGCAGCAGAGCCCCCCTCCCAGCCCCCCGGGCAGCCAGAGCTGACCCCGAGCTGTGCCCTCCCAGGACGAGGCCGCGGCCTTAACGCTCCTGCTTCCATCCCAGAGGGACCCAAATCCCTCCCCAAACCCCCCCTGGGTGCCCTCGCTCCGCTCCGGGGCCCTGTGGGATTTTTTGGGGTTCGGGGTGTTGTTTTCCCGGGATTTTCTGACCCCTTGGTGCAGTGGCACGTTGGGTACATTCCTCGTTGAGAATGGTGAATCCCAAGGGGAATCGCTTTGCATTGGTGTCCGGAGCCCCTGGGAAGAGCCGAGGGGACCTCCCTTCCCTCCAGGGGACCTCCCTTCCCTCCAGGAGACCTCCCTTCCCTCCAGGGAACCTCTTTTCCCTCCAGGGAACCTCTTTTCCCTCGGCTCTGTTCGACTTTTCCTCCCCGGAGTAACCAAACACCCGAATTTCCGCTTTCTCCCAAATCCCCCTGGGCTGTTCCCGGCTCTCCTGGGAAGAGGGAGAGGGGGGAGCTTCGCGTGTTTGGGCACGTTCGTCGTGACAGAGGCAGAGGAGGGGGAAGCCCTCGGCGAGCGCAGAGGCTTGGTTTGGTCCGGGGTGGTGGTTGGAGGGTCCCCGCTGAGCCAGGCCCGTGTCCGCCCCGCCTGCGGGGCCGGGGGGGCTTTCTCTCGGCAGTGGAAGACCTGGAGCGGAACGACGGCTCGGCGGAGAAGCCCTACTTCATGTCCCCCGACCTGAGGAAGCTGCTCAAGAAGACCAACGCGGGGCAGGCGGACGCGTAGCCCCGTCCCGGCCTCCCCCGCCGCCCGGCCCCTCTGGAATTTGCCTTCCTGGACCTCGGACCCGCTGGGTTCCTCCCGCGAGGGGGGCTCGGGGGAACGGGGATTGTTGAGAATCCGGCCCCGGAGCGTCGCGTTGGTGACGGCGAGCGCCGGAGCTCATCGGTGCCGCCGGCCGGCCCGGGGCTCTGGCAGGGGCAAAGTCCCTCCTCCCGAGGTGCTGGTGACTCCAAAACGAGCTCCGTTGGGTTTGATCCCGTTCCTTTATCCTGCTAAACGGGTGGCGTGGCCTCCGGCCCGGCTGCGTGTTCCGCGTTCCCTCGGCGCTCCGGCGGATCCGGGCGCAGAGGTGACGGGAGAACGAGCCGGGAGGGTCCGGGCGGCTCCTCCAGGGGGTTTTTCAGTCGTGGCCCCCCCCAAAATGTTGAGCTGCAGTTGGTGATTCCATCCGGAGAGCGGGAACGGGCTGGAATGGCCTCCCTGCTCCTGCCGCCCTCCGGGGACGTACCAGGGCCCTGTTTGGGGCCCCAACTAATTAATTCTTTTAGGAATAAGCTAATTAGTGCTTCTGTAGCCGCCTGTCGGGGGTGGGGGTGGAGGGGAGCGAGGGGTCCCCGGGCAGAATTGGGGGGTTGAGGCTCTGGCTGGTTCCTGCACCTCCTCTCCAGGACCGGCGGCTTCCGCCGATTCCTCCCCAAAATCCGCGTCCCGGTCCCCAAAACCCGGCAGTTTGGGGCAAACCCTTCCCCAGAGGCTTTGCCTTTCGGGAGAGGGGGTGGTGGGTGGATCCGGGCGGGTTTTGGGTTCGTTTTGGGTGGTTTTAGCAAACCCAAGGGCAGCCAGCGCCTCGCTCCTGCCCGAGGGAAGCTCCAGGGCTTTGGCAGCTCCTGGCACGTGGGGGAGAAAAAAAGGGACTTTTGGGGGCTGAGAGGGGGCTAATTAACTCTAAAATACAACTAATTAACCCCAAATCATAACAGAATGAACCCCCCCTGGAGTCCCTCGAGCTTTTTATCCCGGTTCCCTCATGATCTTGGGGGTTTGTGTCAGAGGGGGGAACGTTTCGATGGAATTATTCAGTGCTTTGGGGGCTTTTTTGTATATTTTGCTTTTCCGAGGCGTTCTCGGTTCTCTAGTTGATATTTTGAGCTTTTCCCGGGAATTCTGGGGACAGGTTTTGGGCTCTGCTGCCGCCGGGCCGGGGATCAAACGCTGTAATTTGCTTAAATCCCCCCTTTTTTCCCCCCTCTCCTGTCTCGGTGCAGGTGATCGGTGCCCCGGGGTAGGGCTGGACAGGGAAGGGGAAGGGGAAGGTGAGGCCAGGGAAATGAAGGAAGAGGTAAAATTAAGAAGGTGAAGGGAAAGTAAAAAAAATGAAGGGAGAGCTTAAAAACAAAAGGGAAAAAGTAACGGCGAAGCTCTGCAGGAAAAAGGTGAAATAAGGCTCTGTTTGGGGTAAGTGGGAATAATTCGGGGAATAACGACCAGGCTCCGTAACACTTCCAGCTTTTCCAGCACCTCCAGCCAGTGTTTCCTGCTGCTGGTCCTGAATTAACTCACTTTGTCCCCTCCCTGTGCAGGTTTCGGGGGGGTTTGGGTTCAGTTTCCACTCGGAATGTCCCTGTCGGGGGTGAATTCCCTCTCGCCCCTCCACTCTCAGCTGCTTTCTTCCCAAATCCAGACCCTTTGGGGGTGGAAACGCTGCTGGAAGCAGCCGAGGAGCGTCAGGAACTCTGTTTACTCCAAAAGCCGAAACGCAGCGGGGACTGGGAGGGCTGGAAGTGGTGGAGGAGAGAAGGAATTTGGGAAAAACGCGTTCTTGGGGACGCGGCCGGGCTGGCTCGGCTGCCTCCCGGCAAAGGAGGGACTTGAGGGGAGAATGAAGGATTTTTAATTCCCAAGAAGCCCGAAGCGGTTTGGTTTTTTTTCTTTTTAAAGGTGAAAACTGCACGTGCCGGGAGCTCCGGACGGGGGGAATATTCCTGTCAGGTTTTTTTCGGGAGAGCTGAGAGCGAGGGCGGCTGTCCGGGGGGATTTTGGTGTCGGGAAAACCTTCACACTCCGCGGCCTGGGCTCTTTCTTCCCAGAGCTTGCGCTCGAGGCATTAAACGACCCGGTTTTTTTTAGGAATAACGGTGCTTTTTGCTGCCTGGAAATGCAACTCCTGTCCCTACAACTCCTTCCCCGGATCGGGGGCCGGGCGAGGGGGGGGGGAAAAAACCCCTCAAAAATGCTAAAACCCGCAGGGCTGGTGTTCTACACCAAAATACTCATTTTTTTAAGCGCGTTTCTGAGGCATTAACGACGCTGGTGCTCCGGGGGGGGTCCGTCGGTGTCGTGACCAACAATAAAAAAGTGCCTGTTTGGAGCTCGCCTGGTCGTGTCCTTCCCTCCCACCTCAGGGCTCTGTGACCCATCCCGCCGGTTTTCACCCCAAAACAGCACACTTACTTCAGTTTGGGATTCAAAAAAAAAAGCAAAACGCGTTTTTGAGGTCGAACCCCTCCGAAAAAGGTGTTTTTGAGGTCAACCCCCCCCCCCCCAAAAAAGCAGTCTTTGAAATCGTTTCCCTTGGTTCCTTGTCAGAGAAGAATCTTACCGCTGAGCTCCTCTGCTCAGGTCCCCCCGGGAGTTCCCTCAGGTGTGTCCCCTCAGGTGTGTCCCCTCAGGGTCCCCTCAGGTGTGTCCCCTCAGGGGGTCCCCTCAGGGTCCCCTCAGGTGTTTCCCCTCAGGGGGGTCCCCTCAGGTGTGTCCCCTCAGGTGTGTCCCCTCAGGTGTGTCCTCTCAGGTGTGTCCCCTCAGGGGGGTCCTCTCAGGTGTGTCCCCTCAAGTCTGTCCCCTCAGGGTCCCCTCACGGGGTCCCCTCAGGTGTGTCCCCTCAAGTCTGTCCCCTCAGGTGTGTCCCCTCAGGGGGGTCCCCTCAGGTGTGTCCCCTCAGGTGTGTCCTCTCAGGTGTGTCCCCTCATGGGGTCCCCTCAGGTGTGTCCCCTCAGGGGGGTCTTCTCAGGTGTGTCCCCTCAAGTCTGTCCCCTCAGGGTCCCCTCAGGTGGGTCCCCTCAGGTGTGTTCCCTCAGGTGTGTCCCCTCACGGGGTCCCCTCAGGTGTGTTCCCTCAGGTGTGTCCCCTCAGGTGTGTCCCCTCAGGGTCCCCTCAGGGGGGTCCCCTCAAGTCTGTCCCCTCAGGGTCCCCTCAGGTGTGTCCCCTCAGGTGTGTTCCCTCAGGTGTGTCCCCTCAGGTGTGTCCCCTCAGGGGGTCCCCTCAGGGGGTCCCCTCAGGTGTGTCCCCTCAGGGGGTCCCCTCAGGGGGGTCCCCTCAGGTGTGTCCCCTCAGGTGTGTCCCCTCAGGGGGTCCCCTCAGGGTCCCCTCAGGTGTGTCCCCTCAAGTCTGTCCCCTCAGGTGTGTCCCCTCAGAGTCCCCTCAGGTGTTTCCCCTCAGGTGTTTCCCCTCAGGGGGGTCCCCTCAGGTGTGTCCTCTCAGGGTCCCCTCAGGTGTGTTCCCTCAGGTGTGTCCCCTCACGGGGTCCCCTCAGGTGTGTTCCCTCAGGTGTGTCCCCTCAGGTGTGTCCCCTCAGGGGGGTCCTCTCAGGTGTGTCCCCTCAAGTCTGTCCCCTCAGGTGTGTCCCCTTAGGGGGGTCCCCTCAGGTGTGTCCCCTCAGTGTTTTCCCCTCAGGGGTCCACTCAGGTGTGTCCCCTCACGGGGTCCCCTCAGGTGTGTCCCCTCAGGTGTGTCCCCTCAGGGGGTTCCCCTCAGGGGGGGTCCCCTCAGGCCGCCCCCCCCGCACCGGCCCGTTCCCGCCACCGCTCTCGGCCCCGCCCCCCGCACA